ACAAGCCTAAGGCTTTCTGACAAGCCTAAGGCTTTCTGACAAGCCTAAGACTTTCTGACAAGCCTAAGGCTTTCTGACAAGCCTAAGGCTTTCTGACAAGCCTAAGACTTTCTGACAAGCCTAAAGCTTTCTGACAAGCCTAAGGCTTTCTGACAAGCCTAAGGCTTTCTGACATGCCTAAGGCTTTCTGACATGCCTAAGGCTTTTTGACATGCCTAAAGCTTTCTGACAAGCCTAAGGCTTTCTGACAAGCCTAAGGCTTTCTGACAAGCCTAAGGCTTTCTGACATGCCTAAGGCTTTCTGACAAGCCTAAGGCTTTCTGACATGCCTAAGGCTTTCTGACATGCCTAAGGCTTTCTGACATGCCTAAAGCTTTCTGACAAGCCTAAGGCTTTCTGACAAGCCTAAAGCTTTCTGACAAGCCTAAGGCTTTCTGACAAGCCTAAAGCTTTCTGACAAGCCTAAAGCTTTCTGACAAGCCTAAGGCTTTCTGACAAGCCTAAGGCTTTCTGACAAGCCTAAGACTTTCTGACAAGCCTAAAGCTTTCTGACAAGCCTAAGGCTTTCTGACAAGCCTAAGGCTTTCTGACAAGCCTAAGACTTTCTGACAAGCCTAAAGCTTTCTGACATGCCTAAGGCTTTCTGACATGCCTAAGACTTTCTGACAAGCCTAAGGCTTTCTGACATGCCTAAGACTTTCTGACAAGCCTAAGGCTTTCTGACAAGCCTAAGGCTTTCTTACAAGCCTAAAATCGCATGGTTTTTGGCCGCTAGCGGCGAAAATCGCGCGATTTTTTCCCGCCAGCTGTGAAAATCGCATAGTTTCTGACGGCTAGGGGCGAAATTCGCACGATTTTTGGCCGCTAGCGGCGAAATTTGCACGATTTTTGGCCGCTAGCGCCGAAAATCGCGCTATTTTTGGCCGCCAGCTGCGAAAATCGCATGGTTTCTGGCCGGTAGCGGCGAAAATCACGCGGTTTTTGGCCGGTAGCGGCAAAAATCGCCCGATTTTTGGCCGCTAGCGGCGAAAATCGCGCTATAGAGTCGTGGTGCACAGCATCGCAATCCTTACCACTGTCAAATGCCTCGACTGTGTTGGAATGAAGGGATAGCAAATGTGTTATATATGAACGGCCATTTGCAGAACCATGTTGCGAGTCATTTATTCATTTATGTTCTTCAAGATGAAGTTAGTTTAGTTCATTTATTATGCACCCCATACCCATCTTGTGGGCGGTAGTTGAATAGAGTTACAGAGGCACATAATGGGCTCAGGGACTGAACCCCACAATTCATTTAGCTAAGCAAGTTACAATCTTGATGAGCTATTTACAAAATTCAATACAAGATGTCACATCAACACTGGGTTTGAGATCGACCTCAAGTACAGGTTCTAAATTAAGCAACTGACATATGTGGAGAGGTAGTGACAATTTATGTTTGTCCTACACACCGCCCCCCATCCAGTGGGCAGCGGTGGATAGGTTAATCACTTAGTTACTACCTACAGTTAGCAAACTGGGGATATTTGGCTAAAATTTCTGGTAGCAGATCATTTTGACTGAAATATTGACATATCGCTGGAACATTGGTTATAGAATTGTCTCTAAGACGAATTGTATTTACAATTGTCGATTGGGGTAGCTTTCCAGCAATGGACGTTGAAATTGAAATAAGTTTATTGAGGTAAAATACACACAAAGGGATGAGGTAGCTCAAGTTATTCTCACCCCGTTCAGTACAACGTGTTAATATATACATAGACACACATCACAAATAAACATTACTAAACATTCTGAGAGATAAACATATACATTTCCTCCTTCACAAGTAGTATGGTATCAGACGTACACACAAATACTGTTATGACTTAGGTATACTGTATAGACAATTTGCAAGAGACATGCAGATAATTCAACAAAATATTACAAGCTTGGTGCAAAAATCTTATATCTCTCCAGAATAACATCAACGTTTCGGTTGTGACACATCCAGGCTATTTGTTGAGGATCAATGGACGTTGGGCTAATTGGCCGATAGTTTGACGCGGGTGATCAATCTCCTTTTTGAAGAATTGGTACCACATTAGCTACCTTCCATCACTCTGCCATCCCGCCAAACACACATCGAAACTACGACGTTGGTACAACGTTCGAACAAGTTTTAACACTTCCTAACCAGTTATAACAACCAATATATCAAGTTGTAACAACGTTCTAATACGTCATAAACACGTTAAGCCAAGATGTAACAACGTTATTACAGGTTGTAACAAGCAGAAAATAGAGACAGTTTCGGTTTGTGTTTCCAGGGATCATATTGGCATTCTTGCAAGAACGTGAGTTGCAAATGAATAGTAGTCGAGGGCACTTGGTGTCAATTGCTGGCTTGAAAAACAAAACATCATCAATTGCAATATGTTTCATAGGTATTGGAAAGATATCGGGTCCCTCGATTGTTTCAAGCGCGGGTTACACAAGTATATGAGTGGGATTGGGTGGTTATAGATAGGAGCTGCCTCGTATGGGCCAATAGGCCTTTTGCAGTTGCCTTTGTTCTTATGTTCTTATGATTCAAGTAACTTTCCCACAATAGACGTTACGCTAATTGCCGGATAGTTTGACGCAAGTGATCTATCTCCTGTTTTAAAAATTGGTACCACATTAGCTACCTTCCATGACTGTGGCACTCTGCCTGACTATTGATTTATTAAATATGGTTGACAGTGGCTCGGAAAGCTCCTGTTTGCATTCTTTAAGCACCCTGGCAAACACTTCATCCGGCCCTGGGGATTGGTTTGGTGTTAGGTTTTCTAATTGTTTAATTACATCCTCCCTGGTAACTGCTGAACTAGTCAACCTGTCCTCGTCCCCACCCACAGAGTTGTTCGGCCGTAGGCCCATTGTTAAGTTCCTCTTTAGTAAATACAGATATAAAATATTTGTTAAAAATACTACTCATCTGCTTGTCATTATCCGTTATTTGACCTGTCTCAGATTTTAATGGAGCTATCCTTTCGCTAGTCTTAATTCGATATAAGTGAAAAAACCCTTTAGGATTTGACTTTGCTTGCTCTGCGAACTTCATAGTTTCTTTTTTCTTTCGTAATCTGTTTGTTAACATTTCTAACCAGTTGTACGAATTCCTGTTCTCAACTGACTTCTCCATTGTTAATCCTTTTGTACCAAGCTCTCTTTTTACCTATAAGGTTCTTTAAATTATTTGTTATCCACTTTGGGTCATTAGTATACGATCTATTCAATTTGTATGGTATACTACGTTCCTGTGCTTTGTTTAGAATATTCTTAAATAAGTTATATAATAAATCCACATCGAAATCCCCTTTTACGTCACCTGTCGCTGGGTTCATGTCTCGCTCCAAGACCGGCCCACACCCCATACCCAAGACTTTCCAATCTATTTGACCCAAAAAGTTGTTTAGGCTATTAAAATCAGCTTTTCGGAAATCTGGCACTTTAACAGAATTCTCCTACAGGTCTATTCCATTCTATGCTAAATCTGATTACTTTGTGATCACTGTTCCCTAGCTCACTCCCTATTTCGAAGTCATTAATTTGTGTTTCCCTGTTAGTTAACACTAAATCTAAAATATTATTTTCCCGCGTTGGTTCCTTAATGTGTTGCGTAAGAAAGCAATCGTCAATTAATTCTAGAAAATCTTCTGCTTCACTATTCCCCGTTGTGTTGAGGTAGCCGGGTGACGTGGCAAATTTGACCGCCAGCCGCATATACGTAAGTTTCTCGAGGCCTAGAAGATCGGCGACCTTCACATCCAAAACGTCCAGTAACGCGAGTAATACGAGAAGCCAATCCACAGGAGGTGAGAAAGCAAGCACCACAGTATCTACACGGGGAATCGGCCTACTCCCAGCCGCCGCCATGCCGCGAGCTAAGACGCTGGTGAGCGGCCGGACCACCACCGCCTCGCAGCGCCCTAGAACTACTGGGAACACGAGACGTGGCGACGACTACACCCCCCCCCCCCCCCTCCAGTGGTGAGGCCTAGGGTCAGATTCACGAAGCAGTTACGCAAGTAGTTACGAACCTGTACATCTTTTCTCAATCTTTGGCGGCTTTGTTTACAAGTGTTAAACAGTTAATGAGCTCCGAAGCACCAGGAGGCTGTTTATAACAATAACAACAGTTGATTGGCAAGTTTTCATGCTTGTAAACTGTTTAATAAATGTAACGAAAGCCGTCAAAGATTGAGGAAAGATGTACACGTTCGTAAGTGCTTTCGTGAATCTGTGCCCTGAACTGCACGGTACTGTACCTTGTAGTGTAGTGTACCGTACGGTTGTGTAGTGTTCTGTATTGTAGTGTACAGTAATGTGCCCTTGACTGTACTGTATCGAGCGTTACTGTACTGTATTGTAATGTATACAGTACAGTATACTGTAGTGCATCGCACCGTACGGAACTGTACTCTACGATACTGTACTATGCTGTACTGTGTTGTACTGTACATACAGCTTGAATATGTAATGTTATTATTTAAAAATTATAATAATATATATTTAATAATACGTCTTGGAAAATCATCACTTGTGAGTGTAATGTAAAACATTAAATGTATGTAATTAATTATTGATTTATATACAAGAAGGTACATTGTGTTTGTGGGAATACATAGCATAATACAGTAATTACACTCTTGTAAAGCCGCTAGTACGCGCAGCGGTTCTGGCAGGTGCGTAATCTAACCGATAATTTAAAATAGGTAAAATCTATAAAAATGAATAAATTGTCATTGATTTGGTACATGTATGTTTCTCATAGTTTGGGTATACATTTGATTGTATATATTTCAGTTTCCAAAAATAGATCTCATTAAGTACTCGGGTATGCAATTACGTCGAGCCGACCAATGACAGTAGAGGTCGCGACAATGTGACGTCAAGTGAAAATGAGAAACGTGATTGGCTATTGAGTCCACCTGCTCATTGAGGCGCAACGGAACGTTATTTTGCCCCTAGAATTAGGTGAGTAGAGGTGTACAGGTTAGTGTTAGGGCGTGATGTTACTCTTGAGCTGGTACCCCGTTACCCTTTGGGGTCGCTAGGGCTGACAGACCCCCTAGCTTACACTGTCACTCAGTACACCGTCAAAACGCACATAGGGGCAAAAATATCTATTATTTGTAGGTGTCGTATATACCCCGTGTTGGGCGGGGGGGGGGTATATACTGCGATATTTGTTAGTCCTGACTCATAATCAGTACCAAAAGATATTTAATAATGTTTACGTACTGTATTGATTTGTAAAATTGTATTTTATTTTGTTTCCACAGCAGTCTTGAAGGAGCGATGATTGGAGTCATACCCTGGCGAGCAGAAGGTGGTGGCAGATGTTAGAGTTGTGATACTTGAGTTACCAAGGTATGATGGGTGTATCCGGCACAAGTGAAATAGTTAGGGATAGTAATATTGTAATGGGATTAGCTTAATTTTGAGCCTAGTTTTGGCAATGGAGGTTTGACGAGTCATTACTACAGCCATATGAGGACCCGCATCAGTGTTAGTTTTAAATATGAAAACCTATGAGTTACGGTAATGTTAAGTGGTGTAACAAGTAGTTCAAATAGTCAAGATTTTTAGTCTGGAAGGAGGATGGTGGTGTTGCTTCCGGTAACTGCTGCTTAAGAGTAGTGATAAGTCGGTGTATAGGCTTTGGCCGGTCTCGCTGGGTTTTATGGCGAGTGTAGTGTTGTATACAATTTTAAAGTGGTGTTGTCCCTCCCTCGCCAAGACTTTACAGTGTTTGGGTTACCTGGGTACATAATTTGAGGTATGAGGGGTGGGGGAGGACAATACAATACGTAGCCTTCCTGTCCTCGTCGAAGGACGTCGACATAAATTGACCCCGAGTCGTTTGACGTACAAAGTTAATTGGTTTATAATGTTAAATATACAGCATGAAATAAGCGCGACCGCCTTCGTAGGACAAAGATCTCCTAAAAAATACAGCTCAACAATATAATTGATACGTGTAGTGGATGTGAAGGTTCCGGTTGACTTGCGACCAATGGCTGATTAAATTCAACTGGAGATGTGAGCCTCGTGACAGTATTTGTCTTGTTTACTGTAGGTGGGTGGCGACGGTAGACGTGGGAGTGTGTAGGTGGTTACGTTGTTAATATTGGTGTAATTGTGTAGTGAGCGGGATAGCGTGCGCTCCACCAGTAGTGTAGGTGGAGGCAAAATTGGGAAAAAACATGTCAGTAAGTCACTTGTGTAACTTTAGCTTCAGGTATTGGTCCACGATCTGTTCGTTATCATTGTGTAGCAGGAAGCATATGGTGTTGCATTGATTTTGTAGTGTTAATTGAGAATTGTGTACTAGGAACAGTCTCCTTTGCCTGGAACATTATCAGGCAATCTGTTGTGATATAGGTAGCGCAATTACTACTGGTAGGTAACTATTGGGCAGTTAATGTTGTCTAGGCCGAAGTGTAACATAGACGCTTATTGGGGGAAGGGAGGATGATTATGCGCGATAACGAAACCCGAAGAATTGTAAAGCCAGTGTTTAGCTTCGGATTATAGGTATACCCGACATGGTGTAGAGTGTGGGGAAGGGTATTGTGATGGTTGCGCTTTGATGGTATTGAAAAAAATATGAAAACATGTCTTGTACCTCTGACGAGTGCTATGTATTCTAGTTTTCCCCTCATGTAAAGTGAGTTAGACGTTGGTAGACATATCAGAAAGTAATATACAAATTGTTAGAGGTTGAATTATACAATTATATTAGAGGAACTGAATTCGGCGGGAAGAAAAAATTGTGTAAGGAGTTTGTACTAGAGTATACATAAATAGATGGTTGTAGGTCTTAAGAAATGATGTCAAGGTTAAATGGATGCATTATATTTCATTGAGATCAGCGTGTGGAGAGGTGCGGGGTGGGGTAAACAGCAATGGTGAAGTATGTTAGTGATGAAAACATGAGGGTGGAGGGCAAGCAACGCCACACTGCAGAGTAATGGAAGAGGCTGTGACCTGCAGGCGAGTGTGATGTTAATTTCAACACATTTTGCTCCAAGAATTTAGTTACGTAGTCCATAAAAGCGAAATGGCAAGTAGTAGTTAATATAATGTAAATCCTGAAATAATGTGTAATTTGAGCATTAGACGCCATGAGACCCAGCCTTACTAGACGGAACAATTTTTATTTAATAAAGAAAATGGGTGGAAGTGAAGATAATGTGTGGAAGGTTGGGTGTGTATATATGAATGCTCCGCGGTCTTCATCTATAGATGGTGAAATCCACATGAAGAACAGGTCACACACTCGCAGCTCCCAGAGAAGAGAATAAGCTTAGTTGATACCCCCCCCCCCTCATTGTCTGGAAGGTGGACTGGCTCTTGGAATCATAACTCAGTGCATGTCCCATTTCCATGTCCCAATTGCAAAGTGGCCCATGAGGCACCCCCGTTCGCTCCCAAGCTGTCTTGTGTTTGGAACAGTGCATGTTCGTGTATTTGATATAGTAATGGTGATAAGGAATGTTTATCGTATATGAATGTTGAGAATCTTGACTACCATATATTTTCGCAGGTGACACGCTTGAGGACCCTCGACGTGGATGACGTTGTTACCATCGCGTGTAGTTACTCTCGGGGGACAACCTCCAGCTGTTGAAGGATCAAGTTTCTTCCATAGAAGGTACGACAGAATGAGAATTGGTTGTAAATGTTTATAGTGGAGAATGGTCGAGCATGTAAATTGATGGTTAATAGATATCGAGTTGGTTTTGAATAGTTAATAATGTGTAATATATATAATAGAGAACTATGATGGACTGGCGTAGACTGCGTGTCGTTACAGAGGTCAGTAAATATGTGGTCTGGTCAATGAAGGGGAAATATAGAGTTGATGTAGAGAAATAATGTTGGGTAATTGTTGAATCATAAATGAATAGATAGTTGTAGGGAATGATAAGTAAATATTGAAATTAGAAGTACCTAATATTTGTCTGAGATTACACGAAGAACTACGTAAATAGGAAGACTAGGTACCTAATTAGGAAGAATAGGTTAACGATAAATACCTAATATTTAAACTAAAAGTTACGTAATTTGATGGTCATTGTTTTGTACATTGGTTTAAAATAGCGTAGTATCTATTGTTATCCAATATTGTAATCATGTAGCCAATGTAAACCAAACGGGACCATTGTGATCATTGCTGCGTTATGGGGTTTGAAATTGCTGTAAGGTGCCTAATAATGTTAGTATAAATGACCAATCAAGCTGTGAATGCAATGTGAAGTTTAATAAAGGAATTGTTAATATACCTGTACCTTATAATCTCACGTATTGTTTTGTTTGTTGTAATGTATCATTGTATTAATTTCGCTCTAATTGACCTAGTAAAAATTATCTTAGAATAATGATCTGGGCGAAAGGGTGCGCGTACTAATGGCCTTACAAGTGTAAATAGCAATGCTATGTATTATAAGAAACCCAATGTACCTTCTTGTATATATAAATGTGATTGTATTAACAAGAATTGCAAAGTAATAAGTTGTTAATATATGGGAAACGTTACAGAAATGAATTTAAATTGGTAATAGATATAATTGTAAAGGAGACGTGAATGTAGTGTTAGATGATTGAGTGTAAATGACTTACCTGCTGTAAACGGTGGCTATATACAATGTTATATTGTCTTCAGTTACCCCTTGGTGTTATGGCTCAGAAAATAGTTATCCGGAATTGATTTCTCTTTGACCCGCATCAGAGGTCCAAGTGTCTTGCTGTTACCTTGGTCTGGCTTGCTGTTACCTTGGTCTGGCTTGCTGTTACCTTGGTCTGGCTTGCTGTTACCTTGGTCTGGCTTGCTGTTACCTTGGTCTGGCTTGCTGTTACCTTGGTCTGGCTTGCTGTTACCTTGGTCTGGCTTGCTGTTACCTTGGTCTGGCTTGCTGTTACCTTGGTCTGGCTTGCTGTTACCTTGGTCTGGCTTGCTGTTACCTTGGTCTGGCTTGCTGTTACCTTGGTCTGGCTTGCTGTTACCTTGGTCTGGCTTGCTGTTACCTTGGTCTGGCTTGCTGTTACCTTGGTCTGGCTTGCTGTTACCTTGGTCTGGCTTGCAAGTAGGATTTGTTTCTCTGCAATTGATTAAAATTGATGCATTGCCCCCGTGCATGTTGTAGTAAGTTATTACAATTGTTGGTTATTGTATTGAGTTATTGATGAAGTAACGTAGGTTGTGGTTGTTGGTTAGTTACAAGCCTCATCAAAGCCCGGCTTTGACTTTATGATGTTGGTATTGCGTACCATGAATTTAGTACGTGAAATTAGTACAGGAAATTATTGTGGGTCAAGCTGGACGTTATTGACTGTTACTGGTTTTGTGAATCTTTAACTTGTTTGCCATTAAGTACCTGAGGTAGGCTGTGATAGGCGCGGAGTAGGGCCCCCCCCCCCCACCCCCCTTGCTTTAAGATTACTGGCCCTGCATTGACGTGTAGTTACATCAGCTAACTATTCCCGCAAATTATGCAGCGTATTGCTGCAGGTGTATCTATTGATTGCAGGTATGTTTGTTGATCATTTTTGTTATCGCTTTTAAGTTATTAGGTAAAGTCAGGTAGGTTAGGGTAGGTTAGGTTAGGTGGTGTCACAGGCCTCCGGTCCCTAGCTTTAAGTTTTCATTGACTGGTATTTTGCATACATGTCCTTAATTGATTAATGAAATTTCTGGAGTGTCAAGGTGCATGTTTGTTAGACATTTGTTTGTTTACTTAAGTGAAAGGTGAAGCATAAGTTAAACTCAGGTAGGATGTGCTAGACGCTGCCTTGGGGCCTCATGCCTGTCGCTTTAAGTTTATCTTGGACTCATATTATGAATAGTTGCTTCAGCAAATTGTTAGTTATGCATTGCTTCAGTGCATGTTATTTGACGTCGGGTTGTTCGTTTATACTTGTGTTGTTGACTTTAGTACTGGCTAGGTGTCATTACTTAATGAGAGTTTCGTTGAGCGGTACCAGTAAACGTGTCCAGTCGTTGTGTCTGGCCGGTGTAGGGCGAAAGAATCTGGAAGCTCCCGGCTGCTGGTTATATGGAGACATGTGTGGCCTCCCAGGCCGCTGGTTATCCGACCCGTTCTCGCAAAATCGTAAAGTCAATATTGACTTATTAACTACGTGCATAGGTGACATACTTAACATAATAGATACCCTTAAAAAGAATCATAGAAAACACCGACCTTACCTAACCTTGTTAGTATCTTAAGATAAGCATCTTATTGCTTCGTAATTACAATTATTACTTAACCTATACCTATTATAGGTTAGGTAATAATTGTAATTACGAAGCAATAAGATGCTTATCTTAACATACTAACAAGGTTAGGTCGGTGTTTTCTATGAATCTTTTTAAGGGTATCTATTATGTTAAGTATGTCGCCTATGCACGTAGTTAATAAGTCAATATTGACTTACTAAATTTGCGAGAACGGGTTTGGTTATCGGAGGTGTTGTGTGCTCGGTGTATGCGGGAAGATAGTGGTGGTTCCCAGAGCGGTGGTTTATGCAGACGATTTTGTCTGGGGAATGTAGGCCGGAAGGGTGTGATAGCCACTGGCGTCTTAGCTGAGTGCGTTTAACCCTTGCACTGCTCACCTATTTTCGGCAAAAATGTCTTGGTGCAATTGTCAAGGACATATTGTTGTTATTTTTACAAATGTTCAGGTAAATTTACTGTCAAAATGTTTCCAAAGTCAACTATTTCCATTTCAAAACACAAATAGTAATGAAAAAAATAAAATATAGGCAAATTAAAAAACCAAGAGGACAACTGTTGGTTTGCGCAGTGCAGTGGTTAAGGGCTGTTCTCCAGCCACGTTGTTCTTGTGGCGAGTTAAGGCGGCGATGTTAATCAGGTGTTATATATATATTGTTCATAGAAATATGCGGACTTCGAGGGTGCTGGTTTATGGATAGGTTTTACAATTAGGGATCCCTAGGGTTGTTGGTGTCCATTTAACTGTGGCTGAGATTGGCAGATTTTGAAGTTGTTGGGGTACTGGTGGTCGCAGATGCTCATTGACACAGAGTAAAATCATTTAGGCGTCTTAAGGCAGTTTCTTAGGGTAAGTATTTATCTGTAAGATGGTTTCGGAGGGCAAGATACAATGGATCTGAGTGTAACGGACTCGGGCATCATCGTTATAATTTGTCATTGTGGACGCAAACATGTTTAGGTTGCGCCTTAAGACGTGTTTCTTATATTTGAATAATGGTTTTAATTAGATATTGATTTGGTATCATAGACATAGTTGTTATATAAATAAATAAGGTTGTTGTTTTATATTAATGTAATTGAATAAATTGAAAATAATTATTGGTTGGTAGATGGGTGCTCCTGTAATCAGTTCTGCCCTTGACTCAGATACGGTAATTTCCCCCCCCCTTAACCTTTGTTTGTGTGTGTGTATTTCGCGCCAAATTTCTGGTTTGGTTGGTAGTTGGGTTAGTTCCCTACCGACTAGTTTCCTGGAAGATATTGTTCTCTTCCTTTCCCCTGTAGTGACTCCTTTCCCCTGTGGCAGTGTTCGTTTGTGATAGTTTTCCCACATGGTATCAGCCTGGGTTTATCCATTAATGACAGTTCGTTTCCGGAAATGTCGCCCTGCTCTTCGAAAATAAATAAAGCACGTTTATAGTGCATGGGCATTTCTGCCCACCCTTACTGCCTTAATATTTCCAGAACCGAGTACGGAAGGCGCACAAGGTAGACCATTGATGAACCAGGAAAATGGATGGAGCCCGAGGAGAGACTACTGGACCCATGGGGTCGACACACATTCCTAGTTAGAGCGGGCAGCCGACGCATTCGGGGTTTGGGTTTCCGCGTGGGTTAACCTAACCCAACCCAACCCTGGCGGGGTTTGCGGTGCCCCGCCGGAATGGCCAAATTGATAAGCTTGCAGATAGCTACCCCCTCCCCGCTCAGCTCGTTGTCGCCGTCTGGGGGCTTAGTGGGCGGCTGCCGGAGTGTGATGCTCCTTGGGACAGTCCTCTGTCCTTTTCTAGCCTTGTGCTCCTGCTGCCGTCCTCTCCAATTCTGCTGGGCATCTTTTCCTTTTCCTTCTGTTTCGTTTTTCTCCCCCCTCTTCTCCTATCTGCTTGCCGTTTCCTGCCGACCTTTTGCTCGTTCTGGTTCTTCCCTTGGACTTCTTCTACTTTGACGCCCGGGTGCTTGAGGAGGCATACTCTTGCACCCGTAGAACTGCAGTACCCGACGTCGAGAGCGAGGGGAACCTTTTATTGTCAATCCCCACTTCGTCACTGAACCCGATCTCGACGGACTGTCGGTTTCTTAAGGTGGCGTTTGTGGGGCGTATACTCACGACGCACCCCTAGGAGGCCCCGACAAGATCGGCGATAGCTTCTTGTTGGGTGTCCTGCCTCAAATTGTGGCTCCATGGTGGGTGTGGGGGCACATTCGTGAGTGAATTCGTAATTTCGTCAGGATGATAACCCCTGTTTCAGCTGCTTCTGGCTTACCTTTTCAGGCTCGTGGGGTGGGCGACCAAGCCCCCGAGTCGGTCCGTATTGGAAGATCGGGCTCTGTAGCCTCCGCTGCATTGGGCCCCGACCTTGCTCCTCCTTTGGCCTCTCCGACTCCTTCCCCTGGCTCCCCTCCCTCCTCTGTGG